TTCAGCAGAAAGGCAAAAACACGACCTGCTGGCTCCTTACTGAGCAGATCGCATGAGAAGTTCCTTCTCCAAGCAGTGGTTGGATTGTACTGAAGTGGCTGAACTGGGAAGCAGGCTCATTTTCATGTCTCTTGAAACTGGAAAAGCTAGACCTTCTAGCTGAGGCTTGGCAGCAATGCCCTTTGCTACTCTTCAACAAGACAATTTTTCCAGGTTTGGCTTAGGAACCAACATATTCACTTTCCAAGCAGGAGCATCCTCCATGCTGGATTACCAGCACTGTCTCCTCCAAAGGCACCTGCTGTTGACTCACCTATTGTAAAATAACATAATTCCTGGAAGCGCGTCCAGCCGCTCGTATCAGCTTCACAGAGAGTTGCCTACAGAGCTACATTTTACTAGAAGTGAGTGGTTTGTGAGCAAGCATTTCTCCTAAACACTTCCTCCTTTGCTGTTGGTCTTGCACATTAGATCAGGGTCAAACTAGCCTCTCCTGTTTGGTAAAGGAGGGTCAGGGAAGGATCTTGGGTTTCCCCTCAGGCATCATCTGGTACGGCCAGGGACTAGGGAAGGAAACATCCGTCCATACAGACGGAGGAGACCTGTGCTCCAGCTTGGTTGAGTAAGAGGCAGGATGTGAGTGAGATGCCTCCTCTGGCATCTCACGGGCTGCTGAATAGCAGCGCCATCACTTTGGACTCCTCCAGCCAGGAGCTTTACCTGGTGAACAAGAAAGGGGTGACGCCATCCTGCCATCGCACTGTGCCATGTCAGGAGGAATTGCTTTCTGACTGCAAATCCTCCTGATGCCCAAGCTAGAAACACCCATTAACGATTTTATTCCCAGCCTTTACTGAGCATACAAACCCAAAGGGTCAGCGTTATGGTCTCTGCCACTACAATATCTCATGTCTCTTGTCAGAAGTATTTGTAAAAGCCATGCATTTTGTTGTTATTGGTGCCAGCAAAATTTTTTACATGTGACTTTTGCAGCGTCCTTAGAACTTAAAGAGAGGACCTATTCGGTCCTCCTCTTCTGAGGAACACAGGCAGAAGAGCAGCAAGACCCAGGTTTAGGATTCACTCGTGGGTAAACACTGTGTCTGGAAGGTATCCTGCTATCTGGAGGTCTGTCCTTTAGTGGCATCCTATGTTCTCCGTCACAGGCACCTCGTACTTCTTGTGGCCTTATCTTAGCGCAGACAAGGAACACAGTAAAGGGACTGGCAATTGGAAAAGCCTGCGGCATTCCCGTTAGCTCCCCACGAGGATGTTTTCAGTGGAAATCTTTTGTCTGGAAAATGCCAGGCTGTTGTAATGGAAACCATTCAGAGGAAAAGGCTTGTTAGGACATGTTTTTTTTGTGAAGGTTTTATGGGGGAAAAAAAGGTTGGAAAGTTTCTAAGGCTTCCCATCTCAGCAGTTTCAAAATGGCAGTGTTTAATTATTCTCTTTGAAATAACTCTGAGCTTAGAAATTTAAAATAATGAAAAACAAAACTTGCAAAAAGCAGAAAAGGCCTGTGCTGAAGCAGACAACTGCTAGTTTTCAGCCAGCTATTCAGCCCAACTTTGGGGCTGCTGGCTTGTGATATTGTTTGTGATTTTTGGCTTTTCCTCTTGGTGCAGTTTGGAAGTTCTCAGAGTCTCCTGCAACAGGGAAGTTTCGCCCCTGCCCCGCTCCTCTGGTCCCTGTCTTTCTCTGCTCTAAAACTACCCACCCAGTTTGTAGAAGCTGCTCCTGCTCTGGCCCAGGACACTGCACTGCGACCTCAACACCCTCTTTGTGGCTTTACGGGTGTTTTGATTGCACCCTGCTGTGCTCCAAAGCAAATTCTGTCTCTGCATCAGGGCTATCTATCTCCATCCTTCTGGTGCAAAGGGAGACCACTGAGCTCTCATGCCATGTTTGAGAGGCCGTAGCTCCCTCCTTTGGTTACTTATGTGTCGTAGGACCAGGAGTATCACTGATCAGTTCCCAGCTCCTTTCACTCAACCTTGTGCTCTCCCTTGTCCTCCAGCTAGTGGACCTCTGTCATGAAGTCAGATTCAGCTTGTAAACCTAGGTGACTTTGTTCCAAATTTAAAGAAGAATGGAGGGGACCGAGTTACGGACAGGCAAAGCGTGTCCCTGCGGGCTGATGGCCAGCACAGTGACACACTGTCCTGAGGACATCCCTGCCACCGGCCCCGCACTGCGAGTCAGTCTCCTGGGACATGGGGCAATCGGCCCCAAACCCCGTAGGCATCCTGGAGTCGGGAGAGGTGGATCTGGGATCGCACAGGTGATCCAGGAGAGGTACCTGAGAACCCGTGTGGCCTGCCTAGCCTATGCAAACCAGAGCAAGCATTTTTATGGGAAAATAAGTATTTTTATGGCATTCTGGCCAGGCATTAAAAGGCCTTGTGGCACAGCAGAGAGGCCTTAAAGCCCCTTCTCTCATACTGAGCAAAATTTGTCCCTCTGCTGAAGCCAGCAGCATTGCCCTCTCCTAGAAGAGAAGTTTTCCAATCTATATGTTCTTGCACCTGACAGTTTTTCCACCAGGAATTAGAAGTTCAATAACACTATTTGGGGTTGTATGGATTGATTTATTTGGCTCTGCTCTCTGTGCCTTCTTAAAATCCTGTTATTATCCACAGACTACCTCTAATCCTTATGCAACTTCCATGGTTTAATGACAAGAACCTTGGATCCAAGGCACACGGTATGATTATTTTCTAACTGCTCTCTATTAGAAATAGCAATAGTGTCACAGTCTACTCCTTCAAAAGTTCTTAAACTTATAACTACAACACAAGGCATGACTTACAAAGATAGAAAAAATAATATTCATGCCTCAGAATGGGTGACTGATTCCATCATAACTGAGATGTGAAAGAAAAGTTAGAATCAGAGCTATTGCAGATTAGTTTTCAGTAAGAATAATACGTGAATTGCATGTGGAGTTCTTGCACCTTGCCCTTTGTCCTTTATATTTACATCAATAAGAGGAGAAATTAAACTCAATCAAGGAAAGAAAACGCACTTTTCAGGAGAACTTTCCAGTACATTTAAAAGTGCTGTAGTTCTACCTTTGCCTATATTTGCGAAAATGCCACTTACTACAAAATACCTCAATAATCCAATATTTCAACAGAAACAATCCTTTTGTTGATGAGGAAACTGTCTGCTTCATTCCGCTGCATCCCTTCTCAAATAAACTTTGCACAAACTAACGTGGCCAGATGTTCCCAGCCACCCCCTGCCACTGCCTCTGAATTTAAAGGTTGAGCTTTCCAATGTAGTAGCTTTTGCATCTGCTACAAACTCGAATCTTTGGTGCAAACATGGAAGATAAGCCCGAGCCTTCCTCAGGAGGCCACCGAAGCACCTTACCTCTGAGGAGGACGCAGCCAAACAGCCACAGGAGCGGATGGAGCGACGCAGCCAGCATCTTCTCGGGCGCTTGCAACCGTCCAGCCCTGCTAGGGCTCTGGCCATACTGAGAGTGAAAAAAAGGGTGAGGAGAGATTTGCCTGCCTGGGTTGATTCTTTTAGAGCTTCCTGTTAAAGAATAGAAGGAAACAGACTGTATCCACAAGGGAACTCGGGCCGCGGAACAGTGCTTTTAGCCCATTATGGCTGGAGAGGATATGAGGCATTGCTTACCCAGAGCAAAGGAAACCTCCGCATCATTTTGGTCAGGATTTCTGTGGCCATGGAGTGGGAGAACGGTGGCGCAATGTGTGCCATGGTCCTGCCTTGCTTCGGGCCTTCGTTGCTCCTTTATGGTGCTGGTTTTATCAGAAAACTTAGGTTTGAGCCGAGGATGTGCTGGGCACAACGCGGGCAGCCCAGCACCCGCTTGGCTCCTGGCCTGCAGCAACTTGCTGCTCTGCTCCGTGTGGAGCAGTGATGGGTACAGGTTGGTCTCCCAGGGCCAAAAGCTGCTCCCGATGCTGTTGGAGGAGCCAGCCTGCCCTCTCGTGGGAGCGGGGACTTTCCTCAAGCCTCTGAAAGGGCTTAGACGTGACCATTGGAAGCACCTGCACCTGGAGGGCACACAGGACATGTGGGTTTCTGTTGCAGCAGCAGCAGCATCATGTCCCTGCAGAACAGCCAGGCTTTGAATTGGGAATAATTTGGTCTGCTGCTTTGCGAAGGGTTTATTGCCTTGCCTGGTGCTGAAGCTGGGAGCTGGGACGAAGCCTGGTCACACGTGTGGCTGGGCAGCTGGCAGCCCAGGGCAGCCTAGAAAACGAGAGTGGTTTTACTGAATTAAATCTGTTGGGGAACACCATAATTAGAGGAAAAAACCTCATCTGGCCTTTGTGTGGATGTTATGTTCTGCCCAAGGAGTGGGGATTAGGGGGAGCCCACGGGGGGTTGATTATTCTCCGTCTGCTGGGGCCAAAGTGGCTCATGTCCAGGGCACTTTGGATCCCAGAAGAAGGAGAATAATCAGAGCACAGACATGCTGATTTAGATGTGAAAAAGAAAGAGAAATGTCAGGCTCTGGTTCTTTGATGAGGGGAGGAACCAAAGACTCGGTTCAGTTGGCCCTTCTCAGCTCTGCTAGCAAAGGGCTTGGCACACTTGGTTTCTCGCTCCTGGTGTTGTGTCTGGGTGGTGGCCAGAGCAGAGCCCTTGGTTTGCCTCGAGGAGAGAATGGGGCTGTCCTGGTTTCTGCCCTGTGTGTGTTCTGCTCTGTTTGCTTCCTCCTGGTACATTTTGAATGTCCAAGGCAAGGAGCTGCTGTTCATTCGATGGGGCTGTCTCATACTCCCTGGTTGAAACCCATGGCTCCAGAGCTCTGCACTGCACCCAGGTGACACTGAGGTGACCACTGGGAGCGATACATCCCTCTTGGGCAGCACTGCCATCCCTCCCCCTCCAGATCACCCTTCTCTCTTGCTCTGGCAAACTGATGTGATCCACAGCTTGTTTGCCTGCTGTCTGGCACATTAGATGCATGGAGGACATCAAAGAGCAAGGGACATCGCCACCATGCTGTGGCTGACATGCACCTCCAGGAGCACACAGGAACCCATTGGAAAGCTCATGGCCAATCTCAGCCTCAGGCCACAGCCCATTTCCTCATTTCTGGTCTCAAGGGACTGCAGAGAAGACCAGAAAAGCAGGAGGAGCCCCCACTGGGGCCCATGGGGCTGCTCCTTCCACATCGCTGTCACTGTGTGGATCAGATCAAGGGAATGGTCTCATGCTGCTTGCAAGGTCCTCACCTTCTGTGGAGGGAGAGATCTCTAACGCGTGGTACAGCTTGCTAGATTTCAGCAGGTCTCTTCAAGGGCCTCTAAAACCCAAAGCAAACCATCAGGCCAAGAGGAGCCAGCTTCTCACAGCAGCTTTTGTTTTTACAAAACCTCTT